ATATAAACAAAATAATAGTCAGTTGTTTTAGGCCAGTATAAGAACCTCTCTCATCAGTATCCAGCTACAATTAAAAACAAGGGATTGAACTCTTAGGACCTTATTTTATTTTCATGGATAGGTATTAACAGCTAGACCACTAAATAGGCATCCAAGTCAGTCAGTCAGTTGCAACGTAGAACTTCGTACGTAAGTACATCAGTTCAGGTCGCCATACCACATCAGCACAGAGACGCAAATGTCAAATCAAATCCCATAGTGATAAAGATAGTAGAGGTAATAATGGTAATGAAGAAGACTAGGGTTCGAAGATATTATTCAAGAAGTATAATTCAGTGAGATAAGGTTAGAAAGACAAAGGTAGAGGTGTTGAGGAATTCAGAAGATTAGGGGATTTGAGAGAGCTCAACGAATGGATACACTTGCGCCATTGAAAACGATTTTGAGCACGGTCTCTAATCCTTGGTGACTATCGTCTCGCATACGCCAACCAGATAGCACACATCTATCAACATGACTCAGTCCACTTGTCAGTGACTTCATGGATTTCTGCCATGTTTTGGTTTGGTCGCCCTTAGCAAACAGGCATCCAATAGTTTTATATATCTATATTCAATCAATTCTTGATATTGTACAATTATAATGAATGCATCTTACTTGAAGTGGAAGTTAACCTTTCATGGTTGCTCCGAAGAGATTATCTCCAGGAACTACTCATCAGTGATAGTTATCATTTACGATTATGACTAGTTTAAAGGGTTTTTGGAGATGGTCGAGTTTTATAATTTTTACGCCACGGACTGATTTTAGTTAGGTTAACCAATGATAACCGGGGATTGTTTAACATTCTAATTTAAAAGATTTTGTTGGGGACGTTAGATCCCTAGAACTCACCAGATTAAGGTCCTAATTTTGGATTCGTTATGTTTTCGAGGAAGGGATGGTCAGTTGACCTTGAGATGACATTTCCTACCCAGGAAATCCTTGACTATTGATGTATTATTTTAGTACTCTATTTTTGTGACTCTCCCAAGAACGTTTCTATGATACTAAATTAAACTCGATTTGTGTGCTTGTGAAGGTCAGATTTTCTGGGTGCTTGTAGAATACACTTTCTACATCTTGTCAAGACTTCTTACTCTACTTAGTGTGGGTGATCGGACACTCACATTAGAGTAGCCTATCGTGTCACTAGATCATTTGTCTTCGCTCTGATTTACCGACTAAGGTGAACTCGTCATAGTTTGAAGTATATCAGTTGATGAACATACCATTTATAATGTTCACATTTTTGTTGTAGTTTTAAAGTTTCAATTGAATTCGAAATAGTCAGGTTCCACGTTAGATGAATAATTCATCTTAAATAATAATTACACAACTAACTAATTAACTAACTACATTTTATCTATTCTATATCAACTTTTAATTATTACAATTGGCAGTTCACTTAAACTAAAATCATAGTGAAGTTGTTTTATTTACTTGTTTATTTTTTGTGTGTGTTTTGGTTAGTCTACTCTTAAAATGGTTGAATCAGTATAACAATAGATAATCAATAAAACATACTATTTTAAGTAACATATTTATCAATTTGATTTGAACTCATCTCAACATTTGTGATTTGTTTTTGATTAAAAGTGAATTTTTATTAAATTCAGTAATGAATTAGACAAACATTTTGCGAAAAAAAAACACCGTTGGATGCCGGCCCGGTGGTCCAAAGGTTAGGCGTTCACGCACAATACCGAAGGTCCCGGGTTCGAATCCTGTGAAGTGCAGGAGTCGTGGATGCGCACTGCTGATGAGTCCCATACCAGGACGAAATGGCCGTCTTTTAGTGCTTCCAGGTTTCTAATGGTGGTCTAACAATGATTGATTGATGATTTCAAATCAGTAAAAACACAAACCTTCATAACTCTGCCCGAAAGAAAAAACTAATCTGCTAAAATAATTCATAAAATTTCAAGCAAGAACAGTAATCAGTTGTTCTTGTTTTTTTGTTGAGTTATTTTCAAATAAAATCAAAATTGAAATGAATTCGATGGCATTGTAAGTAGATACTAGCATCATCATCAGCATCAGTACAAATAAAGTATTCATTACTTGTGAATAAACACATCTAAGCGTTTTATTTTATCTTATACTTTTATGGACGATATTATTTGACGAAGTAATTGTTAGAATATTCATCCAATATCCTAAGAGAATTATTAGTCAATTCCTACTGGTCAATTTTGTGGTCGTCCTAGATATCAATATCACATACTCCAATGTTGTTTCTTATCGGTTGTCCTGACTATCAATGTCACTTCAAATGTTACTTCCTAGTGGTCGTCTTAACTGTCAATATCACAGACTTCGATGCTGTTTCCTGTTCGACCAAAATGTATAAATACGCATTATTTGTAACATTTTAGGACCATGAGCAGGACCAGGGCTCGGTCCCGGATCCCTAGTCCGGGATCCTGATTCTATTTTGGATTCGGACCTCGTACTTTCTGGATGCTTGTAGAATACATGTTCTACTTCATATCACGTCTTCTTATTTTTTACTCGAAATGGGGGTTGTAATAATCGGATTTGAGTAACATGTCGTGTCGCCGGATCATCGATCCTCGCTCTCGTTTTCCGACTAAGTAAACTCGTAATTATTCAAGTATATCAAGTTGACGTGTTTACATGCAGGCGTAACAGTAATCAACTAGACAAATAACCCATTACAGAGAGAACTTAACGTCATTGAAATTATTATCTTACATGTTTGTAGTTATATTACCAAAATCCTTAAATTGATCAGAGTTAAAAAATGAACACCGTTAGATGCCGGCTCAGTGGTGTGGAGGTTAAACATTCGCACGTAAGACCAAAGGTCCTGCCTTGAATCAAGCGAATAGCAGGAGTCATGGATACGCACCGCTGTTGAAGTCTCATAGCAGGGACAAAACGGCCATCCACTGTTTCCACGGTTTCCTAATGAGAATGGTCTCAAAACATTAATTCATTCATGATTTCATATGCAGTAAAACACAGATCTCTCATAAAAACCACCATGTTTAATTTTAGTATAATTCACACGCGTTCATATTTGACTAGCCTACTTTATTGACAAGTGTTTATACTGTACATTTGATTCAACACTGATCTGATTTACATCTTTTCGGTTTCTTAATTATTATTCAAAAAAGGTCATATGGTGTTGTATTATGGGAAATAGCTACATTCGCTTCTTTACCATATCCTGGTTTATCACATGAAGAAGTTATGAAATTTGTATGTGAAGGTGGACATTTAAATTTGCCAGAATGTCCAGCAAAATTACCTGTTATTTTGTAAGTTTTGTTGTATTTTTTTCTGCAAATTTCTGAAGAAGAATACTCTTTTATTCATTGATATTATATTTTTATATTAGAAATTAACATCTATAGGAAATAATAGGTTAGATTGTTTTGTTTTCTCAAAAAAAAATAAATATATCAGTATAAATAACATGTTGAAAGTGAGAATAATATTGATAATAATAATTTATTGAAAAGAAAATTCAATAAAACTAGCTTTGATTAAATCCACACAAATACAAAAATCATTTATTTAATGTTGCGGGACGTTAGATCACCAGAACTCACTTGCTCAAGGTTCTGATTTTGGGTTTTATGCTTTCGCACATGTGTTGATCAGTTGACCTTGACACTACATTTCACACCCGGAAAATCTTTAACTGTTATTGGTTGATATGTTATTTTAGAAAGCTATTTTTGTAGCTCTCACAAGGACGTTTCTATCATGTATAAATAAATTCGATTTATGTGCTTTTGAACCTCATATTTTCTGGATGCTTGTAGAATACACTATCTACGTCTTATTAGGACTTCTTCCTATAGTTACCAGGGCCTGGAACAACCGAATCAGAATAACCTATCGTGTGACTGCATCATTTGTCTTCGCTCTTGTTTACCGAGTAAGGTGAACTCGTAATAGTTTCAAGCATATCAATTGACGAGCATATCATTAATGCTAACAACACAATTAGCAAGTTCTTAATGTACATTGAAACGATCGCAAACCAGAGAACAAAATTCAAATGAATCATAAAACGGAAAGGAGGTGATTAGATTGTTTAACTTTACAACTCATTGGCATTGTTTACTGATCACTCACACTCAATAATTTAGATTGTTGTTCTGGTCATTGGATTAGAATTGAGTAATTATTAGTTCACAACTTTCAATTCCCCGTTACAAAACTTGTAAATCGATTTGTGTTAAGTTAGCAATTTTGTATAGGTTATGTAAACTACTTAAAAGTAGTATAATGTTTAAAATACAAATTTTACTAGACATCATTTTTGTGGTTTTTGTGATAATCGCTTTTAATGAAATTACGCTCAAATTGTTTTAATATATACATCCTTATAGCTAAGAAATGAACAGAAATTTTTTTGAATTAATAACTGCTAACTTTTACTTCATATCTCGAATACGTGAATGCATCAGAATCAAAAGACTGATCTTCTGTACACGATATGCTTAAAACTATTACGAGTTCACCTTACACGGTAAACAATAGCGAAAACAAATGATCCAGTCACATGATAGGCTATTCTGATTCGATTTTTCCCGGCCCTGATAACTATACGAGTAAGTCTTGATATGGCGTAAAAAGTGTATTCTACATGCACCCAGAAAATATGAGGTTTTCAAGCACACAAATCGAGTTTATTTATCCATCATAAAAACATCCTTGGCAGAGCCACGAAAGTAGCGTACTAAAATAACCCAGTTAACCAATGATAGTCAAGAATTTTCTTGGTGTGAAATGTAATCTCACAGTCAACGGATCAGTCTATGCTCAAAAACACAAAATCCAAAATTAAGGCCTTTATCAAGTGAGTTCTAGAGATCTAACGTCCTCGACAGTACAATCATAGTACATTTCATATGAAATTTTATTGATAAACCACTGATTAGATTAAATAATATGCAATTCAATGTGTTATTTTTCTATTTTGTTTTATTTTTCGTCTCTTTAGATTAACACTTATGAATATGTGTTGGGAATTTGAACCAATTAAGCGACCGACATTCAATGAAATTTTATTGAAGCTGAAATTATTCACATCTACCGAATGTATATGATATTACTAAGAATGTTCTCATGAAATATCTACCTCATTGTATGTAATGCTTATTTCTTTGAGGGGGGGAGGATTCTATCACTCTTTGTGTTATCTCAAACTGTAATCTTCGAAATTCGTCATCATCTCCATCTTTCTCTTTCTAAATTTATGGCACTGAATTATACTTCTTGAATCATATCTTCGTAAACCCTAATCTTCTCCATTACCAGTAATACTTCAACTATCTCTACGACTATAAGATTCGATTTGACAATTGCATCTCTGTGCTAATGTATTGTATGACAACCTGAACTTATGTACGTATACACGTACAAAGTTCTACGTTGTAATTGACTGACTGACTGACTGACAAATGTAACTCGTATTATGTTAACTTACTTCATATTCAAATATTCACTCTTCAACTTTGCTACATACAAAGTATGATTTAACAATATTCTTAGATTATTTCTAGTTGGTGGATACATCACAAGTAAATGAAGTATATTTGAAGCTATCCAACATCCACTACATATTTACCTTTCTACATGATCTGTTCACTTTTCAGTGAGCGAACAAACATATATTCTTGACATGATAAAAACATTTCAAGCTAGAAGAGCTATAATAAACAACAAAGTACTACTTCGTTACTACATCAACATGTGATAATGAATTATTCATTATCAAATGTATACTTATCAACTTATTTCTGTATTATTATACTAGGTGAAATGATATTAATCAACTGTCCTAACGTACGACTGTAGTGTTGATTGATCGATATATTCATGCTGTAATTTTATCTGACATTAACACTGATGAGACTATCTGAAATAAATGCAATGATGATTGTATATGAAAAAAAAAATAAAGATCTAGTTAGTGACTGTATAGTTTAAGCAGTCAAAAGGGACGCTTCATTGTATAAATCGATAATTTGGTAGGCTACTAGAGAGATATGTGAATTGGTTAACATTCCATGACTACTGTTCATACTGTTGTTAGATAACGATGGTTCTAAATATAAAATAAGTTAGACTTTGATTTCCATTAGTCTTTTGTAATTGTTGACATTTTTTCAGCATACCTCTATTTGACCTATTTTCACCTGACCAATATATGTATGTGTTAGCCTAGTACGACCAAGTATTTTGTGACATTGTACGCTTATCTTACTGATTTTTGTCCGCTGAGTTGTTCATCTCTATAAACTGTACCTTTCCTCAAATTGTATATGTACCTATTAGTACATAAGTGTCTATATATCTTATACATTGTTACTTGACTATAAAAACTGAATTACTATTAGTTCGGCTATCTTGCCCAAAAGTCGATTTCCATATTCACGTATTGTATACTTCATTTGTCTGGTTCTTTATGAGTCTTCCATTCGTTTTGTACTTCGTTTGTTAAATTCACAATGTTAAAAACAGGATTAAATCAATAAGCTTATATGGAATCAAATGTATATTTCAGTGTATATTTCAACTGAAATTAGACCTGGACTATGATATGATTGTTCTGTTCAAACAGTTTTATACGAAATATATTTTATAGTAAATACTATTTTTATTTTTTCCACACGTGTGCTGAATTAGCGCCTAGACCATGTAGCTTTCAACTATTAAGTCACGTATTCCAACTCCGCTCCACCTAATTTACTATGAAAGCCCTGTAATACCCCGAGCTATCAAATAAAGATATGTTACTCAGAGTCGAGTATATAAATCTGAGTGAATCCGAATGGGAAATCCTGTGTTTAGTCGTAGAGTACAAGATGAAGATAGAAAGCTGGCAGTAAAATCCTAATGAAATGAAATGGACGAAATATGTATTACATGCGACAGGACAATGTCTGCCTGAATGGACTGCGTTGTCTGGTGTAGAAGTAGGTTGAGAGAAAACTAAAGTCCTGGAAGCACTGGACGGCCGTTTTGTCCTGGTATGGGACTCCTCAGCAGTGCGCATTCACGACTCCTACACGGGTGTAGACAGCAACTACCGAAGTCTGTGTATGAGGTTGCGCAACTCCATGAATTGATCAAGTTAGACATTACCACCGTTGGATGCTGGCCCAGTGGTTCAATGGTTAGGCGTCCTGGGTTCAAATCCTGCGAAGTGCAGGAGTCGTGGATGCGCACTGCCACTGGTGAGTCCCATACCAGGACGAAACGTCTGTCCAGTGCTTCCAGGTTTCTAATGGTGGTCTAACATTGATCGATTCATGGTTTCGAAAATGTGTAACTTAACAATCTTCACAACCCCGTAATGCAAAACTAAAGTCACCAAACCGAAACGTGACACTAGTCCATGAAGTCATTGACGATTGGACTCCACTATGTAAGTTGGTACAAACTACTGGTTCGCACAATTATTCAAACTAATGACTACGTATATAAAAGTGGCATAACTCATAATTGGTCAGAATGGAACAGATGTACTCAAACTTCTTTGTATTGTCTTCTAAAATTTCTCATGCCCAACCTTCTATTATTGCCACTAATACTGCTACTCTTGTATCTCACTGCTCTGATGTGATGTAGCAATTTTGACAGATTCATATACGTGCCAGTTTCTACGCTGACTATCATCAACTAATATATAAAGAGGATTTAAACGTTAACTTGTCTATGATAACACTGTCAAATCATCGAGGACTTTGCTCACTGGTTAAAATAAGTTTTTATACGTTTGCTCATCGGATCATATTGATTAATGAATGACTCAGTGAAAAAGATGTATAGATTAGTAATTATATAAAATTCGAAAATGACAGTAATTTTTCTAAGTAAAATAATAAATCATACATCAAAATTTGATACTTAAGTCAACGTTTTATAGCTACATTGCTGACAAAAACACAAACCAGTTAAAAATTTGCTCGTGTTTGTGTTTCATCGATTGGTAGTTAACATGCGAAAGAAAACAGGTCACAAACCAATATTCACTGAGTCAAAAAGAGTAGGCGTTCAAAGTACAATTTGATTGGTTATGTTGTTTATTTATGGACATAACTAACATAATCTAGATAAAAGAAAAGTTGAAATCGATTGGTGGGCCTATAGAGTTTTATCAATTCAGAAGAATGAGTTGCACGTAAGGCAACCCATATGGCTAATACAGAAGTAAAGTTTAGAAGAGGGCTGACCAAACAAATATGTGACATAAGTACACGAAGTCAGTTATTGGTTACTGTTTTTTTTTCAGATGTCAATTGGTACACTTTTGATTAGTGAAAATGACAATAAAGATGATCCTCGTTTGGATAAATCAAATAAACTTAACTAAAATCAGCCAATGATGCATACTTATGCTAATTGAGTATAATCCCCTACTTTTTCCTCGATTTCATACTGTTTTTCTGAACCGTATGTATATCATCCCATCAGTCTGAAGTCTCATGATATATCCTCATCATCCTTTGCGAAAGCGTCCCAGCTATAACCCTCATAAGTGAATGTTGTGGGTGATACTGCTGCAAATCTTATACATAATATAGAATAGAAACTGTCACTTATATACAAAATATTCACTAAATGAATAACTAATGTGATAGATAGACCACAAAGTAAAAATAGTTCAAAATACCCTAGTACGACCGAAAACGCGGAGTGTCTGCTCTTCCAACCGAAACTCTCGTGGCCACCCGCTTGTAGCCACTACCAAGGAAGTCCTACCTATTGCCTTCTCATAGCGTTGTTTACGAAAATGAGAGGACGGAAAGCAAATATCTGGCCCTTAAACTGGAATGATAACGTAGTTTAAAAAACCTGAATCCCAACGTAAACCAGTGGTTCACGTGGGTGCCAGAGGATAAAAGTAGCGCATGAATCCAATTATTGGTCACCGACTACCATAGAACCCCATCTTCTGATGTTGCCCCATTGCCTTATGTCAGAAAACAAGGGAGAAACATATTGATTGATGCATCCAAAGTTGCCTAGTGTTATATAATGTGAAATCACAAAAACTTGGTTCATGGTTTGGATTAGTGACTTAAAGAATGAATTTGATTCGTTACGTCCGATTAATAAATCCGAAATCGGTTATTTAAGGCCCTTCATTATCTTTAATGGCTTCCGAAATGCAAGAAAACTTTCCACTGGCGGTTACCCAGAAGATGATGCTTAAGTGTTAGGATATCCAACCAATATCCTAAGGGAATTATTGGTCAGTTCCTATTGGTTAATTTCTACTAGTCAATTTTATGACCGTCCTAGATATCAATGTCACATGCTCCAATGTTGTTTCTTATTGGTCGTGTTAACTGTCAACGTCACAGACTTCGATGATGTTTCTTATTCAACCTAAATGTATAAATACGCATCATCTGTAACGTTCTATGACCAGGACCCGGAATCCCTAGTCCGGGATCTTGATTCTCTTCTGGACTCGGACCTCGTACTTTCTGGATGCTTGTAGAATACAAGTTCTACTTCATATCAAGTCTTCTTATTTTTACTCAATATGGGGGTTGGGACACTCGGATTAGAGTAGCCTGTCGTTTCACCGGATCCTCGATCTCGTTTTCCGACTAAGGCAAACTCGTGATAGTTCAAGCATATCAAGTTGACGTGTTTACGTGCAGGCGTGACACTAAGACGCTATAGCCCCGAACACAAATTTTGGGAAGAAAATCAATCTCAACTTCTTGTATCAACAACTGAAAACGATTTTCGCTCAGCCAAAACTTTAGCACATTTTCTTAAATCCCATTCATTACATTTCATTATATTTAGTCAATTGATTTTCAATGCATCTTTCTTTCATTGGTTATCACTCAGTTAATAAAACTCAATCACTAACACTCATTGAATAATTGATGAGTAACTGAATTAGCTCAAATGCAAATTTAGCCTGTTTCTTTTTAGTTTCATTCCATTTAAATCTTAATAAAATTCGTCTTTCAAAAGAGCTGGTCGGGGGTTGGGGCTAAAAGCAAGTAGAAGTAGAATATAGGTAGCACAGTTCGTATTAAAATGATCACCAATTTTCTTCTTCATATTCGTCATAGAATGAATGATTACAGTGAAGTTGACTTATCTTGTTTACTACTACTACTGTGGTGCGCGCTACTTATAAGTAGTATATGACGTGAGTGTAAACGTAATGTCTGGCAGCAGAATATGGGGGGAGATCAAGAAAGGAAGAGTGGGAACACAATGGGATTTGTATGAAACGCATGAACAGTGAAATGTCAGACAATGGATTGATGTTTTGCAACAGGAACAGTCCAGTTCGATATGATGGATTGATATTTTGCAAATTAACGATTTACGATATGGTTTTCCTATTTTACCAATTAACTCTGTCATTTTCGATAAATACAATTCGGTTGCCTCACCTGTGTTCTCCTTCACTACACTACTACTACTACTTATTATTCAACTTGTATTCAAAATGCCAATGTTTGATGAACAGAAAAATACACAGGCAATAAAATACAATACATTCATTTATTGACTGTGAGCACATGATAGATAATACAGTGAGAATTTCGACAATAACAATAACAACAACAAAAAAAGAAAAAGATTTTTTTTCCCATATATATTCATTCATTAAAAATTTTGTTAGAATAAACAATAAGAAAACAAACAAACCAAAAAATAGTAATAATAATAATAATCACCAATTTTTCTACAAAATTCTTTTTTTCTTAAACTGAGATTGTTAATTAATAATAATAATAAGAATTATGAAAAACAAGGCAATAATATGTGTATATGTATATATATATAAAAACCAAGTACACATAAACCCCACTGGCAAACAACTACGATAACCGAATAGTAATAGTAATAATAATAATAATAATAATAATAATAATAATTAATAATAATAATAATAAAAAGCAAGGCACAGCAGAATTTGTTAATAATAATGATAAAGGGAAACTGGAATATTTGAGGCACGAAGTGTTGGTGTTGTTATTATTATTGGAAGGCAGCAGCCAATGTCACACACACTTTTGTTATGTAATCATAATACTCTATATATATATGTATATCAAAGATTATGTATACTGTATAAAAAAATAAAATTGTTACAAAAACAAACAAATAGTTGTTACTCAACAATTGAGTGTTTACATTTTGGCTAGTAAAAGCACAGCACAGCACAGGCATAACACAGTGTTTGTTTGTTTATTATGAAGTGATTACTCACCAAAGTTGTGATAAGGCGAAATCATCATATAAAAAAGAATACTGGTTCGTTTTAATTTTTAAAAAAAAAATTTATTAGAGCTGAGAGATGTATGTATGTAACAAAAAACACGTCTTGAACAAAGAAGACGAAGAAGCAGCAGACGTAGAATTGAGCAATCTTTCAGTGATTAGAAAATATATATATATATGATGTACAACAAATTTACAGGTTTATTATTAGTAAAAACAATTTTCCAAGACACTGATGATGATGGTGATGATGATGAACATTTTGTATAGATTGAAGGCACATGAATTATCAAGGTGATGTAATAATATATACTGATTATAAATAACTGATATTAAAAAAACATTGGCTAATATTGAAAATGTATTAAGGTAAAAAAATAAGTCATTGTGCAAGATGTGTATTTGTTGGAATATCTCTCTCTCTCTGTGTCTCTTTCTGTCTCATTGGAACGTAAAAAGTAAAGTACACATAGTTAGTTAGGCATGTTATTTTACTATATTCGTTGTTGAAAATCCATTTAGTTTTTGTTGTTGGAAGAATGAGAGGTAAAAAGAAATTAATAACTTGACACTTGTTATTTCAATGAATAAGCATAATGTTGTCTAGTATGCCAAGCACATGCATATTTACATGTGAACGGTTTCTCGCATACTTCACATTTGAAGCGTACACCAGTATGTGAATTCATATGTCTTTTAACTTGATAAGCAGAAAAGAATTCTTTAGAACAAATATCACATCGAAAAAATCTCTGACCTGTATGCACATAAAAATGTCGTGTAAGATTACCAAGCCATTTGAATGGTTTACGACAACTAGGACAAAAATACATCACTTGACCATCGATCATTTCAGACGGTACATCACCTTTCTTCCAGACATCTTTACGTTTTAAACAAATATGATGATGTAAACTATAATCATTACGATAATATTTGCCACATTGATCACATCGGAGCATTTTTTTGGAATGATCACTTAAATGAACATTAAATAATGCTCGAGGCCATTTAGACTGGAAATGAGAATAAAAAGTATTATGATTGTGTTTTCTAGTAAGATGATTAATTGGAATGGTAGCTCGGCGGTATGGGAAATTGCCAATTAGTCGAGTTGTATTTGACTGAGGTGTATTCAAAGGCCAACTTTCAGTAGATGATTGTAAGGTTGAAATTGGAGTTACTAAGTTAGTATCACATGTCAAAGGACTGGTACGTATTAAACTTTGAGTTGTCTTATTATTCGGTGATAGATCCCAAGAAGAACTGGTAGTATTTTGTTTTACATTGATCTCGTCTTCACCAACCCAGAAAGCTTCACCGTAACATGAAGTATAAGAGGAAGTTTTGTCGGTTGTTTCAGTAGAAATAACGAGCGGTTTAGACAAAAGACCTTTGACATCAGTAACTTCGTTTTCTAATTGGCCATCGTTTTTTTGTTGGTGAACACTTAATTTGGATTCATGAAGTGGCCAACCGTTATTGTTACATTCGTTATCATCATCGTCATCTTCATAACTTGAAAAAGAAATAATTGGATGGTGAAACCCAAAATTGTTAGTTGACGTCAAATAATTAATGCATTGAGAATTTAAATGTACTAAACACATCAGATTACAGGCCAATGGAACTCTCTGGATTCAGAATAAGTGAAATATAGTGAGTACTTTTAAGAACAGAACGTTGATGAACAAAGGCATTAGGAAAATATGGTAGTGGATATCAACGCTTCATTTTCCTGATGCTCACGAACCGACTAATTACACCAGCTATTATGATCTGGTCATTGATGAAGAAATCTTGATATTTACACAATGTACTAAGTCAGAACTACGGTTAAATATATACCATTCTGCAAAGAAATAAGACCAATAAAGTTAACCATGCTAATTCGAGTGAAGATTATTTTTTCTACTACTACTACTACCACCACCACATGGTCGACACAGCTGAATAATACGCTAACGTTTCGACAGCAAGCGTTCTCACAAATATTTCTCAAGGCTTAAAGAACTGTACAATAAGCGATTTTCAGACAAATGATAGAAAACTAATTCAAGAGATTAAAAGCAAGCAGTTAGTGAGTGTATAGGAAATCTGCCAAACACCAATGTACGACATCAGGACGAATAACTTTTAAAGATACGACAGTTGGTTGAAAATGTGCAAAAATCTTGATATGTCCATCAGTTAACTAAACTCAAGCATGTTTTACACATACCACCTAACAATCATCTACCCTGGCGCACTACAAACGAAATCAAGAAGTAGCATTAGTAAACCAAGTCATTTGTTATTGTTCTAAACCATTTCAGATGGTCCAGACTTCCTGATTATAGTCTGGAAGAAAATGGTGAAATAAGCTTGAAAATCAACCTTAAAAAGAATAGTTTAAAACTAGTCTGTGATGCTAATCCATTCATTCTTTAAAGTTTATAAATTGTTTGATTAACAATTCAGACAGACAGACAGACAGATACAACACAGAACCTCGTACATAAGTACATCAGTTCAGGTTGCCATACCACGTCAGCACAGAGACGCAACTGTCAGTTCAAATCCAAGAGTGATAGCGATAGTAGAATTATTAGTAGCAATGGAGAAGATTAGGGAGCGAAAATATGATTCGAGAAGTATAATTCAGTAAGATAAATTTAGAATGAGAAAGGTAGAGATTATGAGGAATTCAGAAGGTTAGAATTAGAGAGAACACAAAGAGTGGATGCACCTGCGCCATTGCAAACGATTCTGAGCCATGTCGTTCAAGGTCTCTAACCATTGGTGACTTTCGTCTCGCGGAACCCAACCAGGTAGTCTACATCTACCAACATCACTCAGTCCACTAGTCAGTGACTTCATGGATTTCTGCCATGTTTGGTCTGGCCGCCCTTAACTTTCTTCGAGCCTACTCCTACACTACAAAACATAGCTCGTCGAGGCAGTCGGTGGTTAGCCATACGTAACACATGTCCCAACCACCTCAACTGATGAAGTTTCAATACTTTATCTATTGCTCTACCATCGTTGCCTAGAACTCGTTTCCTAACGATAGCATTGCTTACTCGGGCGTCCGAGAATACACAAGCAATGCTTCGGATACACCTATGATCAAAAACTAGTAACCTACGATTAATTAACAATTCACAATTTAAAATTTTATTTCACCTATTCCTTTTAAACTACATTAGTTGTTGAATCTTTTTTACTATTGTTATCGTGTTCACTAATACGTTTTTTTTGGCTTTACTAATCTATTCTAGTTGTGTGAATGTGAATAGTGAGTGACAGCTTATAATCATCATCCGTTACTTACAATTGACTGGTAGAAGTAATATCTGATCATTTACATAGTTTTTGATAGGTTAGATAGGAATCGTTGAACTTCCCATGTCCAGTCAGCCTTAAAAACTTATAACACACTATCAATATTTTTATTTTCAAAGCTTTTTAAAAGTTTATGGTTGTTAATTTGGATAACCAAAATGGTTAACTACTTCAAGATATTCAATAATGACTTGTTTCCTTAGACTTGGAAAATTTCCAAATTCCTAATGATGATGATACATATTCGAACGAAGTTCTCAGACAAGTAAAAAGTATCACTTTAAGTCGAATTGTTGATTTGAATTGACCATTCCATCTCTTTGTGCTAATGTGGTATGGCAATTTGAGCTGACATCGACGTTGTAGATGACTAACTAACCGATCGATTTGATGAATGTACAGTCAATTCGCTAAAGGGTTAGGATATAAACGATTTTCGTTCACACTGAAAACATTTCTGAAAACTTAAGTAGTTTTTACCAAATTTATTTTTAATTATCTTTATATTTTTTGCAGGTAAGTTCAGAGAATCTTGCCTAACTCATGTAAACTAATACGATGTTGCCTACTATAAATTTCTTGAAGTTGCAAAATAAGAAATAACTGAATGTAAATCGGTAAAAGCTGATCACATCAGAATGTCATTTGCTTCCTCAATCTCAACACATAGGATGGGTTATCGTACCCCTAACATATGAGTTGGAAAGTAAACTGCCTCGACAGAAATACCAGTATTTTATACTGATATAATACTCGATCATTTTTGCATATTCAACCTGTATTAACGAAATTAAATTATCAAGCTTCAGTTTATAAATCACTTTGGGTCTACAGTACCTAGAATTCTGTCAGTCAAAAATAATAGCACAGAATCCAACTAATGTGCTTAGGTTCAAGTTGCTACAATCATATTATTTCAGAGATATTAAGAGTCATTAAGATGAATACTCAAGTAATAGATGTGGAAGTAATGTCAGTGATAGTAAAAAAAATGTCTAGGTATTGAGAATGAGTTAATTCGCAGAATAAAACGTCTAAAATAATTTTGGAATTTAAGATCTAACGGAAAACTAAAAAGTGAACGCACCTAGGCCTTTGTGACCGATTTTGAGTAGCGTCAAGATTATTTTATACTTTTTATTTTGAGAACTAGTCACTAAAAAATCCATACCAGTTTTAAAAACGGATGTTTTGAATATAACAGATTCAAACCTGGATTCATAGACTGAATCATTTACTTAGTTCAAAAAGATTAACTACTAACATGTTTACACTAAGTAAAACAACGTCTAATTTGATAAGCCGTTAAAAAGAGAAGTTTACACTTCAAATGACTCACTCATCCGCAAACCTAGGATCCGAGACGTCTGCAAATACAGCGGTTTTTAAAACAGCTTTCTTTTTTTTATCGAATGTCAGGATCAAATAACCTTCAGGAACAGAATCCTCTGAAGCAGATGATGTCTGACAGGAAGATGAACTACAGTCTGTAGTTTCAGATAAATGAGTTAGTAAGGGAACATCCACCATGATCCACCTCTGTAATACAGAAACATACACGTAAAAAAGCTTGAAAGTCGCCTAGATCACTGAATATTATTAATAATATATATGTACTATTACACAAATGTTTATGTATAGGGTTATTGTTTTGAAAAAAAATTATGTTTATATGGTATCTTAATCAGACAACTAATGAACCAAACCAATGAACGAACTGAATAAAAATATGCATTGGTCTAAGTGGCCAAATTACAGCAACAGAATGTCAGTCAGTCAGATGCAACGTAGAGCTTCGTACGTAAGTACATCAGTTCATGTCGCCATACCACATCAGCACAGAGATATAATTGTCAATTCAAATCCAATAGTAGAAGAGGTAGTGAAGGTATTAGGAGTAATCGGAGAGGTTAGGATTAGAAGATATTATTCAAGAAGTATGATTCAGTGATAAAAGTTTAGAAAGTAAAAACTAGAGTTGTCGAAGAACCCAGGAGGTTAGGATTTGAGAAAACACAAAGAATAAATGCACCTTCGCCATCGCAAACGGTTTTGAGCCATGTCATTCAGGGTCTCTAACCATCGATTATTATCATCTCGCGGAGCTCAACCAGGTAGTCAACAATTACCGACATGGCTAAGTCCACTCGTCAATGACTTCATGGATTTCTACCATGTTTTGATTTGGCCGCCCCTAACTTTCTTCCAACCTATTCCTACACTACAAAACAAAGCAACAGAATGAAACTACACATTCAGAGAGAGCTATAGTGCAATTGTTTATTTGTTAAAGTGGACAACTTTAGACTGTTAGGTCGCAAGTTAACATGTTACTTCATCAACTCCAGTACTGTCCCCGAAATGTGGTTTGAAGTTGAGTACAAAAGCTTACTTACTTTGCGGTGAGTCAGTCCGAAGGCTACACAATGAACGTCGTATTATTTAACCACTTAATTAGAAGCTCATGAACTGAATGTAAAGAAGTAGGTTGGTAATAGTTCATGTCAGTTTAACAGCCCTTCGAGTACAAGATTGAAATAAGTTTAAACTACAATTTTTCCACTCTACAAGTTTGTGTCCGTTAAAAGTGGAATCTGAACCATGGAAATCTTATTTTCTTCATCAGTAAATATAGAAAAAACATAACTTCTCAGCAGACATAAGTAGTCTGGTAATGATCAGAAAACTAATTACAAAGAGCCAACAATCTGAGAAAACTCTTACATACGATAAGGCTTAGAAGGTAAATCAGATGAAACCTGATAGCTACTATGCTGAATTATACTGAGTTCAGATGTTTTAGCACCAACGACTTTGTTTGGTGGCGGAAAGCTCAAGAGAAGATATCGGGATGTATGGATTTTGAGAATATTTACTTCCAAAATCATAACTTTTGGGACTGACAACACTATCTGATATTCCATGTAATGTCCTTTATAAATACGTTATGAAGTATATCTACTGCATCCATAAGTTTTGTCGGTAGAAAATATATCTGTTGCCAATAATTACAACTCTCATCAACGAATATCTTGGTAAATACAGGTATTTAGTGTAGGTTAAGAGGAATCACCTAGTGTTACTAAAAATATCAGTATTCAGTCATTTACATACGACTGTTCATTGTATTCATAGTGCTTGATAAATATTCTCATGCGATTAGTTTTTAACTTGCTGTTTAAGCAGCCGAAATATAAGATATTCTCCAACAAATTCTAACGTCAGTTATATACAGGTTAACAAGAACATTATTATGACTAGGATATAGAGCCCATAAGTTTTTCATTAGACAGTAAGAGCTGGCGTTTATATCTGAATTTAAACTGACATAAATACAAATGCGTCATTGTTAGAAAAAAGATGGTTTGAACGGGAATTTCATTCTTTAACAGACTGATAGGCACTCAAGAATCGGTACGAATATGTACCACCCTAAGCAACCTCACCTGAAATCAGAACAGAGAAAGTCAGACGAGAGAAATGTTCGGACGAAACAAGTGCTTGGATATGGTCACATTTTGACACTAACGACAGAAACCGATGGTTGGTAACTACATCAAGAACTTGCCTGCACAAAACTTACCGCAACACGCAAATAAGTCTCAGTTATAACTGATGACTTAAAACTATGAAGAGTCTTTGTAACTAGTGTCAATTAAAAAGGGTTATCCGAATTAATCATACCATACTACGAAGTTTGGATAAAAAATTGAAATCCTGAAACAAATGCCACCATAATCAGATGATGTACAGTCCTCCAACCTTCGAGAAACCAAACACCCTGATGTAGTAATAGTGGCTACTGATTTTAATCCCTATGTAGGTTGACCAAACCAAACTGAAAGGAACTTAAATGGATCTTACAATGTCACTTATCAGCGAACAGATAGTGGCAACCGTCTCAGTCAGTCAGTTGCAACGTAGAACTACGTACGTATGTACATAAGTTCATGTCACCACACCACATTAGCACAAAGACGCAGATGTCAAATCAAATCCCATAGTGATAAAGATAAAAGAGGTATTAATGGTAATGAAGAAGACTAGGGTTCGAAGATATTATTCAAGAATTATAATTCAGCGAGATAAGGTTAGAAAGACAAGGGTAGAGGTGCTGACGAATCCAGAAGATTAGGATTTGAGAGAGCTCAAAGAATGGATGAACTTGCGCCATTGCAAACGATTCTGAGCCATGTCGTTCAACGTCTCGAACCATTGGTGACTTTCGTCTCGCGGACCCCAACCAGGTAGTCTACATCTACCAACATCACTCAGTCCACTAGTCAGTGACTTCATGGATTTCTGCCATGTTTGGTCTGGCCGCCCCTAACTTTCTTCCAACCTACTCCTACACCACAAAACATAGCTCGTCGAGGCAGTCGGTGGTTAGCCATACGTAACACATGTCCCAACCACCTCAACTGATGAAGTTTCAATAAGCGATTTTCCAGGCAGGAGGTCAACCCCTGAAAAATCTGACGAGCTTAATGTTAACTCTAGGAGGATGTCTACGAGAGTTAAACAAGAAGCAACCGTCTGCTGCAACTATGTTCAGAAAACTCTATTTCTAGAAAGCACATCAACCGCTGATAGTCTGTCTGTAGAAAAGGATAAAAATCCTTTTGTGACAGTCAAAGAGGAATATATATAGTGTCTAAAATATTAGCCCCAATACGTATACACCCGACTAGAACTTGTGAAGAGCAAACTAGGGAAAACCAGGATGGTTTTAGACCTGGACGTGAATGTATGGGCCAGATACTCACCCTTCAGCAAGTTCTGTGAAACAGACATACTTTTTGACGTCCGAGAAAAGTTGTATTCCTCAATGTATTGATCTTGAAGTCTTGCGGCATTTTCTATAATTGGAAGAATATTAAAGAAGTACATTAGCCATAAACAAATTCGCTACTACAACAATTGTAGTCGATACAGAGCTTATGGTGAACTGTCATCGGAATTGATAATTCACGATGTTGAGAAACGTTGTACACTTTGACTTGGTCATGGACATGCTTTTAGATATAACACACTCATTTTAACTTAGAATACGCAGGTGATATAGTTTTTTTTGGTGAAGATTGTGGTGTTGCTGGTGGACATAGGAAAGACACAGTATGGAAACTCCTTAGAGTTCTACTTAATGGTAAAAAAGCCAAGAGTAAATTTCAGGAACAACTAGAAGAACAGTTAGACAGCCATGTAAGTGATGTCCATCCTGAGGCGGCTGGGAAAAATATCCAAAACCTAGGGAAACAGCAGTGATATCTGCCGATAATTTAGACCAAAAGGTTAGGGAGAGGCAAATGGTCTCAGTAGCATCTACCGAACTGATAGATACTCAGAAACTCATTCCATCTGGCTACGAACGTGATAAGGAGTAGAATCAGCTAAAGAACAGGTCGATGAGAAGCTCACGAAATTATCGCCAACAGTGGTGAGTAGCGAAGGCAAGAGATGGAAAAGACGGCGGCGATAGGTTAGCAGTAGACAACTGTTCAGACTTATCAAGGAAACTGGAATAAGTAAACCGTGAGACTACCTCGGAAAACGATGGGCATCTCATTCTCAATCCAGGAGATTGGATCGATGGGCAGAACATTTTATGAAACGGTTCAACAGGCCTTTAGCCACACTTCGGTTGCCCATGATTTCCAGTCAACCTGAATGACAAGTTGATGGAAGTCCTGCGACTCGTAATGAGATCGAGAAGGTTACAGACAATCTAAGACGAAGGAAAACAGGATGACCTGACGGAGTAACCCCCGAAATTTTTAAGGATGGTGGTCCAGTTTTAGTAGTGAGATTGATCGAGATCTTAGAATCTAGGAACTGAATGTAATCACATCCGATTGGTTTCATTCGTTCACTGCACTGTTCTATAAGAAAATACAAAAGTCCTCTTGTGACAATCATAAAGGAATCAGCTTAATTTAGTATCGAAAATATTAGCTTCAATAACTCCTTGATCTCTGGTTACAGCTTGTGGAGAGCTGTCTCACGAATACCAGATTCGATTCAGAACTGGACGTGATTGTATAGACCAAATATTCACAAGTCGTCAGGTCCCAAAACATGGACACACTTTTCGACATCCAACAATCGTTTTATTCATCGATCTTAAAGTGAGGTTTGACTCTGTGGGTTGCGAGGGTCTGTGTCAGTATCCGTAATTGAAAGAGTATCAGAGAATTACATAAACCTTGTACAGGTTCTTCACTCGAACACTACTGGCCGAGTCAGAGCTTAAGCCAAACTGTGGTCGGGAGTGGTCACTTCAACTGGCATTCGTCAAGGTTGTCCACTTTCTCTATTCTTGTTCAATTTTTTCATTGCCATACTTTAGGAGTCAATCAGTTACAACGTAGAACTTCATACATGAGTACATAAGTTCAGGTTGCCATACAGCATCAGCACAGACGCAACTGTCAGTCCCAATCCAATAGTGGTAGCGACAGTAGAAGTATGAGCAGTAATGGAGAAGATTAGGGTTCAGTGAGATAACTTTAGAAAGAGAAATATAGAGATGGTGAGGAATTAAGGAGGTTAGAATTTAGGAGAACACAAAGAGTGGATGCACCTGCGCCATTGCAAACGATTTTTGAGCCATGTCGTTCAAGGTCTCTAACCATTGGTGACTTTCGTCTCGCGGAGCCCAACCAGATAGTATACATCTACCAACATCATTCAGTCCACTTGTCAGTGACTTCATGGGTTTCTGCCACGTTTTGGCATCGACTGACATTTCAGTTGATCTTCAGCCAGGGGATTCTCTTGTTGACCTAGAGTAAGCTGACTACATAGTTCTATTTGGTGAAGACTGACAAAATATAGTCTTATGATCACTTTCGGCAACAATAAGAACATGTTTGAGATGTGATTCTCTACTCCTAAATGAAAAATGTTGCTTTAGGACTGATATAGCACGGAAATCTGGAAGTTTGACTGTTTTTTGCCAACTTGTGTCACGTGTCGTAGGTGATGTCTGTCAGCCAATCAAAGGAAAAGTTTGATGCACAGAAGGAACTAGGAGACTCAATTAACCAGAAAATTTAAAAGCATATATGGAAGACGAGGACTACAACCGTTTTCTATTAAACCTTAAGATGACGAGACTTCTCTCATTATTATCATCCTTCAGCTACATTTTTTCCTGTATCTTAAAGTTTCTAAACGACTTAGTGAACAACAAAGTAGGGGGAAATAACAACTGATTACATTCATGGCGGTGACAAATATTTCTACTCAGATATACCAGAGTGAAATGTCACTATTTGAGAAATGTTTGCTGTGTGAACAGTAGTACCTTGGGGGTTGCGAAATAGTTGAACTAGTGAGAAAGCTATATTTCTAAATAAGAGCTAAATAAGATTTAAATTTGCAGAAGTGCAGATGAGAGTGAGAGCAGTTTACTTTCTAACCAAATTTGATGTGCCTTAGTAACGAATGACAATTTCGTTTACTCGGCTTTAAGCAACACCCCAAATATGACGCTTAGTAAAGTTGTCGAATTTATCATACAAAAACGGAAAGTTTCGCCTTTTAACTAGACGGCTGGAAGTCAAATATTTTCACACTACACTTAACGGTTGGGTAGTACATGCAATTATTTTCAAAAAAAGTTATAACAAATAAAAAAGTTGTTAGAACAGACATTAGAATTATACTTAATCAGTACCGGTAAATCTGATTATACGATAAATACTACATATATCATGGATCTCATCCTCTTGTATGCAGGAGACGCTGGAAGGTATGTGAAGGTAGAAAACAGACTAAAAAGCTAGTATGTCATACCATATTTACAGTGAGGTTATCCGCAATTCCCAATTATTTAAATTCTTCGAAATAACAAAATGGTCAAGTTGGGCCTCCAAATCGTAGTCATCAAAGAGTAGAGGATACGATTTTCGAAACTATTAGTTCCCTAAGTACATGACTGTACATAAGCGGTGAACTAATTGATACGTCACAACATAAAATTTAAATGCATACGATTTATACAGTTTCACCATTGTTCATGTATTTTTAGTATTAAGGTCCGACAATTGGAGAAATTAAGTGTAAGACTGTTCGACACAAAGTTGGTTAATAGGTTAAATACCCATTCACTTTAAAGCAACTAAGAGAGTACAGCTGGTATACATAGAATGAGCGATCTGCAATTCTTGAAACAATGTTGTAACAGAAGTGGCCACGTCATACAGGCAAAAGAATAAGAAAGGTAGAAAAACAGCTTGAACCACACCAATTCTGCAGATAAAAAGAAAACACTAAGTAACCTGTAACTAGCTTCCCACAAGAACGAGCGGTAGAGGTTTAACCAAGAGATGCGACTGATGAGGTGGTTAGATCTATATAGAGACCATTATGATTATCTATACACACAATAGGTACAGGTTAGGCGTACTCAGAACCAAAGAATCTATACATTATTGACAAATCCCACTCTACCTTTTCTATATCGGTTGAGTAAATAAGACCTTTAGATCAATTAAAAATGCGGCTTATATCTTTTCACACAAATCTCTACATAAACTCTGCTGCAATGCATGTAAGTAAATACAGCACGCGTGTCATCGAATATTTCAAATAGGACAAACTATTTCAGAATGATCAACTTGAAGTTGGCTGTGATATGTTCCCCGACGCCAGGTCAGTTGGGATTGTGGTCTACTTGAGGGTCAATAGTAATCTTATGTTAAGTCATTAAAATTCCTGGCAGTAAACACATCCAAATTAGTTGGCACTAAATCAGACTTCCGCTGTTGTGGTACCGGTACGATTCCAGATTTATATAATTCGCCGTAACTGGATAAGTTTAGATTTCAGAATACATTCAGTAATGCAGACTACGATTACCGTTTGATGGAGCGCTGAAAACTTTGCTTATTATGCATTCTTTTTGCAACGTACGGCTCTTTTGTGAGTTTTGTATGTGTTGAGACCAATCGTGAGCCGACACGTTTATTGTCTTTTCCTGAGATACGATAGAACTACCATACTACAACGATGATCATTCGGTGCAGTTATAGTTTTCATTTTTATGCTTTTTCCAAGTATTACCGATTACGATAAAATTTTGAGGCCATTGTCATCTCCGCTAGTGCTTATTTCCTTGAGGAAATACATACGGATTCCCAGACTATGAGGAAAGTAAGTGAAATTGGGTGAAGACTAGACTCTTTTTTACAATAGGGCGAATATTAAACAGTTTGGTGTGAGTTGAGGTGAAAATTGGACCATTTAGAGACTATGAAAATATAGATTTATAAACTTTTCTCCTCTTTTGACATTTAGGAGAAATCTTATTATTTCGTAAGCCTAGACAGAAAAAAGGACATTTAGTCTCAATGTTTCCTGAATCCACACTTAATTTTTCCGACTAAACTCCCTTGTATTTCCGCATTCTTGTTTAAGTCTGTACGATTGTCACTATAGCACTTAAGAAGATAGAACTATCACAACGAACATGCTATAATAAAACAGTAAAACTGGTTAATGCTTCAGTGGTCAAAATAAAGATCCCTTCTTTAAAATTTTGAAAAACCAACCTAACTGCATAGATTCATGTCCAACACTTCCAAAACACCGACTGGTGTTAAAGAGACACGCAGCTTGACACGGTAAAACAAGATTTGAGCAAATGCTGATATTCACTAAGGGAGATTTTATACTTCTCTAAACCCCATAAATTGTCTATAAAATTAAGTTTGTCATCACTGAGAGTCTCAGCTTGATTTTTATATTCACAATCAAAGTATTGGTATTTTATGCCATTAGAAAATGATGTATGCGAATGATTTCATGTTGATAAACTGTTTTAGATCTTTGGTGTCATCCATTTATCTGAAACTCTTTACTGTATTAGGAGATTGGTTTATGGATATGATATATTGAGACGGCTTTTTTAAGTCGTCACTCATGATCATTTGAACCTACTTCCAATGTAGCGATGTCAGAATCACCTGCTGGAGCTGTTGCTTGTGCTTAGTGCTGATTATAAGACAGTGGTATATTCGTCTAACTTCTTATTTAGTGCTATACTTTCTGTGATAAGGAAATGATTATGGTAGAATCTAATTAACATCCGGTATTAAAATCGACCTTGTAAGTCTTTATAAGCATTACAAATTGAAGAGGCTGTCAGACATAACTATCAGATCATGAGGCTTCTCCTTTCACTAGTTAGTTATAAACTTCAAGCTTCTTCACTCCTCATTTCATTTTATACCAAACCGTCATATCCTCCCCTCATGCTTGCATTTCAAGAGATCGTATCGAGATTCTGGCGACAAGTATTTTTCATGGTATTCAGAGTTCCTTCATTCACGCTAAAACGACATGAGCTCAAACCAAGTAATCAGAAAAAGGGGGGTTGGATAGGCTTTGGGTTGACTTCTGTAATATATCCCTAAACTCCCCTTTCTTTCACTGTCTCATCTTGACAAATTCTAATCTAACAAACTCATACTGATGTCAATATTATTTGAGAAAAACTAATTTCTCTTAAGCTTTATATCCCTTTGTTAAGAGTGAAAGAATAATAATAATAATAATAATAATAATAATAATTTATTCTCAAATAACTAAGTTACAAGAGACACGCCAGTTTACAGGCTAGATCAAATTGTCACAAATGCTTTTACAATTACTGTAAAAGTTATAGCAGTTAAATTAAGTATAAGAGACAGTTTCTGATTGCATATTTACACCATATCACTGACAGAAACAGTATTATACAGCCACATTTTCAATATTAGAGTACAAATGAGGAAGGTGCACAATAGGTTCTATTGGCGATTGGCCGAGATCAATAGTGAATTTGTTGGGAAAGGTCATATGGAACGCGCTTGATACGAGCTGTGATCCAGACAGTCATGTACATTGGGTGCATGTTCCCTAGAGTTGCCAAGGATTTCCCACCGTGAATGGGGTTCTTCAAGTTAGTGATTTTGGACTTCAGGGCAAAGCTGCTGAAACTTATGTAGACTCGTAATTTTCGCCTAGAGCTAAAAGATAGACCCTAAAAGGTCACTAAAACCGTCACACGTTCCATGCTTCCAGAAGGCATTTGGGCTTCATAACAATATTTAAACTAGTTGTTCTTGTTGTTGCTGCACTGTATAGTCCCATCAATTGCTCTTTTAGGTTTGATGATGTCACGGACACACCCCAGTGTCAAAGGAGCCCCCGCAGTTTCCTCTTTACACGCTGTCAAGTGCTATCTCGCAGCCAATGAGTTTTATGTATGGTGGTGAGCCCCATTCAATTGATTGTTCCACAATGATCAGTAACGACACGGCTGATCCTTACAAAATCCAGCCTGTCGACCTTGAATTTGGGCATCTAAGAAGTCCCCCATTCTATTTAACAATACCCTGTTGAAGACTTTGCCTGGTAACGATAGAAAAGTGATTCCACTGTAGTCCTCACACTTGCTGAGATTACCTTTCCTTGATATTGTGATGAGTTATCCTTCCTCCAGCCTGTTGGCACTTTCTGTTTATCCCAAATCCTTTTGAAGAAAATGTGGAGTATTTTTGCTGCTGCTGCCATGTATGCTTCCAATGCCTCTGCAGGAATGTTGTCTGGCCCTGCTGCTTTGCAGCTCTTGATTTGTCTGATGGCCATACTGATCTCTTCAATAATTAGTGGGACAGAATTGGTTTGGAGGTTCGTGGATGCTACTTCGATGGTGGATGGACTCAGAGGGACTGGTCTATTCAAGAGTTCTTCAAACTGCTCTACCCATCAGTTTCACTGCTCTCAAATGTCAGCAATTGCTTTCACCTGATTGTTCTCGACTAGTCGTTTTGGTTTACTATATTTTCCACAGAACTTCGTTGTATCGTACAGCTGTATCATAGTTCCTATTGAGAATGATCGCTGTGAGCGGTCATGAATTCTCTGTTTTCCAGTATTCCGAACGAACGCCGTATTAGACTTTTATGATGTTGTTCGCCCAGTTTTCTAGTGTTCCTTTAGTTTTAGCTTCATCTTGGCCAGTGTCAAGGGATGATATGAGGCAATGTTAGCTCCTCTGTTTGTTCTTACCTCCTCCATGATCCTTCTGAACTTTTCACTGATGTAGATGTAATTTATTTAGTTCTGTGTAGTGTGATCCGGCGAAACCCATGTGAAGTTGTGCATACGTTTGTGTGAGAATATGATGCCAACAATGACCAGATTGTTGAAGGTATACAGATCTGTGGATATCTCATTGCATTCGATCCATTCTCCCAGTCCATGTTTTCCCATGACATCTTCAGATCCGGTGTTTTCCTTTTCAACCTTGTCGTCGAAGTCTCCCATCAGAATGGCTAACTCCTTTGTTTGGCGTTTTTCGACTATAGACCTCAGCCTCCCATGAAACTGATCCTTGTAGTCCTCATTACTATCGTCGGTATGAGAACAACACTGGATGATATTGACTGTAGTCCCATCTTCTTTCTATGTTTGGAAGAAAGCTTTCATTATACTAGTTTCATGAGATCTCTACCCCATAAGTGCTTTCTGTACTTCTTTCAACAGCATCAGTGCAACTACTTTTGTGTATGAGGCGTTTTCATCTTCATAACCGGAGCGTAACAGAGTCTCACCTGATGCTGGTCTTGGATTTCTAACCTGTGTCTCACTAATTCTAGGAACCTCCAGGCTATAACCTATCATTTACGCTGATATTTGAGTGGTCCTACTGATCTACCGGATTATTAGGATATTCCATGTATCAATAATTATTGTGACTCTGGTTGACAGAAGTCTATCATCAGTAGGGACATGCTAGGTACAATTCTCAATGTAATGGCGACGAAGTTTTGCGCAGTCAATATGACTCAAGGCTGTTCAAGCAAATCACATATAGTTGGTTCTTTTATATCATGGGTGGTATAAGAGTCTCAGAAATCCAAGGTTTGTATAATGTACAGCGCAACTCCTCCAGGAGTTAAAACTTTCAATGTACATACTGCGGTTCTGCGTTCTCAACACCACCAACTTTGTAGTACACCTGTATTAGAGATAACGTCAATTAAACCCCTTCCTTCTCCTCTAAGAAGTTTTAAATAACCGTTACCAATTCTTTCGCCTTGAAGATCTCTTATAAGTCGTCCATTCCGATCGATTTCTGACTAGAATAATATTTCAGGCTAGTAGTTTGATACTATATCCGTTGCAACAGGGACCATCGTAATAAGGAAATATGTGGGTTTATAGTCCAGATGTCTTTCAGAACATTCTGTTTTTAGAACATACCTTCACTTCGCTCCCATTATTAAGTTGTAATTACTCTTGTAGTCCGCTTTTAACTCGCAAAGTGTAGGTTCATACGCACCCCACCCAGTCCATGACCAAAAACGATAATTCTGTGAGAGAACGGTTCTGTATTTAATTAGAAAGGGAAATACAGACAATTACCAAAACAATATTACACCTTCGAGTTTCCAATTACCACAATAGGTTCCGTTGCTGGAAGAATAAGTGCTTCCAGTCCGTTACTGCTAGAGTATCAAATCCAAATATGGCTGTAGCCATATTAAATATCAAATTTAAACAACATATGTATAGTTCAGAAGGAAACATAAAAACTTCAATATAAGTACAAGATATAGAAATAATAACAATATACAAATGATAAAATCTGAAAATGGAATCAAATAGAGTGCCAAAATATCGACAAAAAGAGTCAGTCATTTCACAACACAAATATATACACATGGAGGGGTTTTCCAAAAACGAAACCTTCAAAATAGATTCTACACCCATGCCTTCCATCAGTCAATCAATCAGTTGACAAATGCTGTTTGTTGTTAGCAAAATACTGTTGTATTATTTGTACTAGACATTTATTTTGGGCAAACTGAATCGTACAATTCTAGCATCCGTACGGTCATGACTAATAAAGCACGTCGTGATTAGTGCCTTTTACTTGTCATCTTTCGTATTATATCCGATACTTCTACTACTTCGAAACATTCTGTCAACAAATATCTGCACGATATATTGATTATCTTCATGTATTGTAGTTCTAGTGCAACTAACTCGGTAACAACACAGGTGTCGTTGACATGTTGTGACCATATTTCGGATGGAATCCAGAAATAGCAATAAATGTCAACACGAAAGATTAGAGCCTAGGTAATGGTACACTTATAGTATAGGAAGACCTCGTGGTGAATTTGGGTCCATGAACTCTGTAACAGTCGGTATTCAGTATATATATCTTAAACTTCGTATATGGCTTGTCCTGATAGCCGTTAGCGTTTGGTGCCCAACGATGTATAAATCAGAAGCTGAATACGAAGCGTTGGTGACGTTTATTGTCACAGCACATACAGATCAAAAATCCACAGCCACATGAAACAATAGGGAAATGATATGCGAGTGTCTACGAGCAAGCGAGCGAGTCAGTGAGTGAGTCGATGAATGGAATTCAAATGTACATATATATCCATAGGAAATGAGTGAGTCATCGAATTATTTAAGAGGCCAATATTAAAGCTAGTATAATGAATATTCGCGTAGGTGGTAAGCGATACTCAAGCATACCTACTCATATAAACACGATAATAATAAATTAACAAATTGTTGCTATGGAAATGAGTCTATCTGTTAATTAAGTTAACC